AAGCACGAACAGACATCATCAAGTCTTATCTTGGAAGGTAAAATGCGAGAGAATAACTGACGTCTGAATCTGTTACCGTTTTCCTTGGATGTTTTAATCTTTTGGAGCTGTTTGGGATTCTGACTGGCGGACCAATTAACAGTCCTTCACGTGTTTCTCCCACCCCTCCCACAGCTCCCTGGCCACGGTTGGACATGCACGTATTTCGTATTACAGCTTACACACAATTCCAAACACCTCGCTTCCTTTTTTACACTTCTCTTTCCATTTTATTTATTCCCAATGTTCTTTCTTTCTTTCTTTCTTTCTTTGTTTTTTCTGTGAGTCCTACAGTGGTGATCTTTTTACGTAAAAATCCTCTACACTCACGGAACTTAATATTCTGTTTACTGAGCCTCAATGCCGTGCACTAGGTCTAATATCAACCTATTCGGGAGGTCACGTGATTAAACTCTGGCGTGGAGATCAGTTACACGGACTGAAGATTTTCGTGGCAACCCCCACTTCCTCTAGGCTCTTGCTAATGTAGCAAATCAAATCATGCCATGGCCACAACGTTTACAATTCATTATTTAACAGTCAATATAATATTGGATGATCTGTAATTTTAAGACATTGTCAACGACGTTAAACAGGTTACTTATTATCAAGTCAAACGTCGTGACTATCAGACATTAGGCGTTAAATGCGTCGAGGTTGGCCATCTTAAGAGTCGTATCTGTAAGTTTCATTTGGTATCGCAGAATTATTGGTGAACAGTGATTTTACAATTAAGTGTTCCTGGGAGTTATCTGCAAGGCTGGTGGAAACAAAGTTGTATGGCGCTGTGTCGGAATCGACTAAAATGCTTTACGATACTTTTGTATCACCACGGAAACTGGCGGATGACGGCTAACGTGGATGACATGTTTCCGAAGGTTTCTCTTAGAAGTATACGTAGGTAATTTCTGTTTCGGGGCTTTCTTGGGCGCTGTTGATGGAAGACAGGGGCGCTGTGTCGAGGTTTGGATTTGCTAAATTCCCAGCATGTTCACTGGATGTACTATTTGTGTCAATAACTCTTTGATATTCGTTACACGAATGAAAACCAGAATAAATAAGTGTGGAAATTACGGGAAA